AAGGGGAGATACCTGACATTCCAAACCATTAGATAAAGTTACCAGCCGTCCCTGAATCCTGGATTCACCCACTGTCCTCAGTCAACCTCTATTGTGAGAACCAGCTTTGGGGACGCCCGAACTTGTTTATTAGCAAAGGTGGGGGCATGCTGCCGCTACATTCCTGCTCAGTGCCTGTCTTCTTTAGAAATTTCTATGTGGTCTGTTAGCAGGTAATTTTGTGGGATTATCTCTATGTAAACTTGACTGTTAGAACGCTAAGAGTGAATGTTATCCCTCTGAGGCCTCATGGTGTGTGGGGAGGAATGGATCAAAGTCATTCCATTGCCCCTGCAGGAAAAGTTACACTGCTGAGGTGTCTTGGGAATGAATCCCATTTCAAAGAGAGAAATATCACGATTTCACAAGATTTTATAGAATTGACAATGTAGTCCCAAGTCCCAGTCTCTGGCCTCCATCTTTGGAGGCCCCCTCTCTGTGCCAGCCAAACATTGACTCCTTCCCAGAGAAGTGTCAAGACAGCCCACCAAAATCTTGACCCCCCCACCCTCAGTCTATTTAAACTGCTTCCCCAGAAAGTTCCCATGTGGTCTCTTTCCTCTACCCCTAGTGGTGGTCGCATTTGCAGCTTCCCGAGGTTTCCTCTCAGGGGCCACCCAAGAGCGCAGGAATCCCATTAAACATGGATATTTTTAAATTTGGCTTGTTGTGATTTGGCTTGATTGGGATTTTTGTGATGGCAGAGACCTAGCGCTAGGAAAATTCCTAACAGACGATGACAGACTGCAAAGTGTGGTCCCCATAAGTTGTCCACTTGTGGCTCTGCCTTTATGAATCTGTCAGCTGCACATTTACTGTGCAATACTTGGGGCTTCTGATAACTTTTGCTTTTTCAAAGTTGTTGATAACAGATGTAGCTACAAATAAGAGATTCTGACTTAGGGTGTGGTTAATTAGTATTTTGGGTTTAGAGGTGGGTCCGCTCCACCTGGAACAAAGGCCAGAAAATTCAAGTCTATTCCTTATATATTATGTGAATGAATCTGCTGCATCCTTCCCCCTTTGGAGTGAAGTATATAAGCGTGTGGAAAATAAACAACGCAGATTCAGTATTCACTGAATATCCCTCCTAGTGCTGTTTTGTGTTTCTGCCTCTTAGTTCTCTTATATCTCTGTTCCTTTTGCTTAATAATTCTAATCCTCACACTCCTTCCCTGGAATGAACAAATTTCATCAAGACTGGTCTTCAGTAGATGGGTTCCTCGTGTGGCTTAGGATGCATGACAGATAACCCAGGGATGTGTGGCCAGAGGGACAGGAGAAACTGTGAGGGACTCTGCGAAGTGCAGAGGTAATGAGAACTGAGCCTCAGTAACAGACAATAACAGATGATAAAGAAAGACTGGGGATGGGATATTAGGAGTAAAACATTTGCATATAATTATAAATATGGGATAGAATAACAGTTGCTTAGATATATTTTAAAGGACAGGGGAGCTCAGGTGTACCCCAATTAATAAAAACTCAGAGACTGATATTGGAGTTCAACCTGAAGGTCAGAAAAGCAAAACAGACAGCCAATGGTTCTTATCTCAACCTTAGTCATAAAGAGTTATCCTGCCTCCAGGGATCTCAGAATGAGACAGTCTGAGAGCGATCTCCTCCATTTTATATTCCTCTCTAGGGTTGGGATTAAAGGCATACACCAATACCACCTTGTTTCTATGACGACTAGTATGGCTACTGGGATTAAAGGTGTGTGTCATCACTGCCTGG